TTATCTAAATCTTAAATAATGCATCTTTAATGTTTTAGAGCGACCGTTATAATATACATGTAAGTCACTCTTGACATGGAGGACAACTAAAGGTGTTTAATGGCGTTTTTGAGCCAATTCAATGCCTCCTGAACCAACCTGTATAGTGAAGTAAGTCACGGGTAACCAGTTAATGACTTTTCAACTACATTGATTAGTCAATTATCACTTTTGATTATTGTATTATTAGAGGTGTACACCACTGTTTTACAGTTAGTAATAAATATAATGAAATTGGGGGCTTAGTGTCCTATTGGGCTTATGAAGACAGACATACACCGTACCAGTGTGCATTGATTGATATTGAATTCCAACTGTCAAGAGATCTTTAAGTGCATGCCAATGTGTACACTGGACCTCAGATTTTTGTACCACCTGAACGACTAGTTGCTTTTCCATACCAGACCCTCCATCATGCAACACCAACAAGGGGAATCTTCTCAGCCAACACCTGGATCGAAACCCAGACGTCTTGGTTAGTATGCTAATGTCCTGCTCACCGAAACTCAAGTTGGATTAGAGAACAAAAATGTGCATTAATTCTCTTTGTGATGATCACATTTAACAATTTAATTTCTAATCTGCATTAATTTTTGGTTTCACAGTAACCCAGGAAGTGGGCATGGTGGCATGTTGTGGTCATGTTATGATCTGGTTGCAAGAAGTCTAGGGAGCAATGAGAATCTTCCACCGATAACACAATATTATTTTACTCGACTTCCGGCTTTCTTGCCTATGAAAGCTCTCGCCCTCAACTTCTCGTCTCGGAAGTTCAATTCCTACAGCACAGTTTACCTAAACCCACAATAATCTACCCAATTCCACAATAATCTACCCAATTCCACAATAATCTACTAATATTCCAACTCAAATCACATTAAAGATACTTTCCCAGAAAAGTATTTATCAGGTGTTTATTTCCAATAAAAGTATGGCAATTTGGGTATAAATGGAAAGTAGAAACATCAATCTTACTAGAAAAATACTGGATTCCATGGAAAACACCCATGGAGTGCACATGGGACAAAAATGTAAGGGTTCCCTAACCTGCAACCCGGCGATTAGTAATGTCTGCTCGAGTAACATCAAAGGTAGCACGCGAAGATTGCCTAATCTCCCAGCGTTAGTGAGCAATTGATGTACATGTATATGTTGATAAACTTGATGGTGCAACAGTTTCTGAGTTAAAAACCACAAAAAAAAATTTTGTATATGCAATGAATTCTCCTCCGGCTTCGCCCCCGTTGCTAGGTACTGAGAGAGGTAAGTGTCGTGACACAAACATGACCTCTTTTGATGTTTTTTTATAGCAGGGGTATTCCCTGACAATTACAATGTATTGAGAAGGATTTGAAGCAAAATTGTGATAAATTAATTTGAATATGTTTTTAGTCCAAATATATCATCAAATCACCCAGTTTTTGAACTTTCATGGTGGCAACAGTTGAGGTAACATAGCCACACGCTCTCACATTCTTGCTCAATTTCCTCGCACTTTTGCCTTGCCTTCTTGCAGTGAGAAGTCGAGATTATAACATGGCCACAATAGGCTTTCATATGCGGGAGAGGTTATATAATAACCACTGTACAGCCAAACTGGCCAAAGATTATTGGACAATAGGCAATAGGCATGTTTCACAGTTATTCAATGTTGCCCAAATTTCTGGCTCTCCAAATTTGAATGTACATTCTTTTTTAGGTGTGTTGGTGCCCTTGCAAAAAATGTTGTGAATGTGTAACTCCTACTGAATTTGTAAATCAGAGCATACATTTTGGTTCAAAATATGGACAATAAAAGGAGTTAAGCCCCTGTTTTAATTACAAGGTATAGGTTGAAGACATTTGTTGTTTGTGAAAGTGACAAAACCCCTTTAAAGAAAACTATATCATTCTCAACAGTTCACTTAGTCCAACTGCATCAGGTTGTTATTCTTCTTTTGTTATATTTAATCCAAAAAAAGCTGTTTTTCAACTTGTCAGCATTAAAACACATTACTTGGTTACTATTAATAGCTCTGATGTAATGTATTTATTTAGTAACATTACAAACATGGCTACAACAGGGTGTTGGACATGATGACATGTCAAATAAAATGCAGTTTAGATTTGAGTATGTAAGCAGTTTCTTTTTAAAACCATTTATTGTGTTCAATTTTGATCTGACATGCATCAAAATTAAAAAGTACAAATTTTGTTACTGGGGTGAACTGTAAAAATGTTCTGGCCAGAATGTTCAAACTAAGTTTAGATTTTGACTGATTTTGATGATGATTATTTTTGTCCCCTGCCTTTCGAAGAAAGCAGGGAACTATTAAAATGGGTCAGTCCAGCCATCCATCTTGTCTGTCTGTCTGTCACACTTTTTGGGACACAATAACTCTCCTTCTAATTGAGCTCCCGTCTTCATTAGCCCAGTTCGGAGCAAAACAGTAGGACGTTAAACCCCATTTCATTTCATTTGTAATTGAGCTAGGTGTAGATGTTTATTAGGTGAATGCCATGACTGAGTTTGATCATGAACATTTTATGCTTAGATTAAACATGCATAATGCAAGAGCAAAATCTGCTTATTACAAGTCTTTCTTTAGGCCTGAAATGTTATCTAAACTATCAATTACACATTAATTAACTTATCCAGACCATAATCAACTCTCGATGTCAAGGCTAGCCTTCGATGTTGACTGGATTAGATTCCTATATGCCGCTAACGGCCATTGATAATTAAATCAGAAAAAGTGGATAATCAAGACTATGCTGTTTATATTAATGATTTTAGTAATGATGACCGAGACTATGCAAAAATTTCACCCGCTTCTTTCTCGACTCATAGTGGATCAATTTGACTGAAATTTCCAGCAAATTACCGTTACACTATCTAGTTTTTAACTATTATAGCGAAAACTGCCATCTCTTTATCTAATCTCCCATAATGTATCTTTAAGTATAAATAACCAGTTTGATTGCTCAATACTTTTGAAAAAGATAAATACAATTAATCAATATGTGTCATCTATTTATTTTGGGATTTCAGTGGGAAACATCAGCCTCACTGTAGGCTTGTCTGCTTAGGCTAAGCAGCTGTCCATCTGACTTTCACACATTTTGGATAACAATAAATTGAGGCAGAATATTCAAACTTGACGTACATGTAGATGTTGTTTATTATGTGAATTTCTTGACCAAATTCAAACATGAGCATTTTCTGCATGAGCAATTTGATTGGACGAGACTGTAAGACACAATATCCCTGCTTTTAATTGGGGTGGGTGATAAAACTTTTTGTATAGTTTCTCAAAATCAGTAGTCAATATCTTTAATGTCCAATAATGAGTATTTTTTGCTTAATCAATAAGCAATTGTTTTACTTTTTGCTTTATGAAAAGATAAATGTGCAAATAATTAATGGGTGTCATCAATTGAGTTCTTTGTAAAGTTCTTAGATATCATAATTTAGTAACAAAGGAACAAATATTGTTTATGTTACTCAATAGGGTCAAAGTTCATAATTATTATAAGGTTACATGATATATACTGCTTGCATGTAGAAAGCCAAAAAGGCCAATACTAACACATTTCTTTCCCACAACAGATGCAATATTTTGGGAGAATTTCATCATTGTCTAGGATGTATTGACCCAAAATCATGCACTTTGTTATTTACATATATATTTGAAGAATGAATGTCAGTATGTGGTGTAGAGAATTATTTCCATTAGAGGTACAGGTTACAGAATAGCACATTATTTTAAATATCAAATGAAATGGGGTTTAACATCCTATTTTTCTGCTCCATCCGGGGTAATGAAGACTGGTATATATACTATGCATTGTGCTTTGAGTGTAATTTTTCAAATTCCAATTTTCAAGTGTTCTTTTACGTACTGTACATGCCATTGTGTACACAGGACCTCAGGTTTTCGTCCCATTTGAACGACTAGATGATGGCCAGCCATCTTGCACTACTTACAAGGGAAAAGCATGCTAAATAATCCCAAGGAACTTTCTCGGGTGTGCCAGGATCGAAACCATGACCTCCAGGCTAGGGAGCCAGCACCTCACTGACCAAGCCACTGTGGCTCCATGTAAATATCAGTTAAATATATGTTCCCTCTGGTGTCATGTAGGTCATACATTGGAATCCCAAAATATGTTTTAATCTGAAATAGGATGCTCTTAATACAATGAATAATACAATGAATCAGCTCGAATGGTAATTGTTATAAATGAAATCAAAATATCATAGTATTTCTATCTGTTAGCCATTTAAATACTGCATTGAGATCAGGGACAGTTGTGACACAGTATATTGTAAACATCCAGTACTAGTCATCTATTGAATTTATGACAGTAGAAATGCCTTTTATTTTTGTCAACAAACACTCACTGACTGCCAATAGTTTGCACTTGCCTATGAACATGCAAGCCAAGATTATGGAATGTCTTTGTGCTGTCAAGTCTCTTAATTTGGAGTATAGAGAGTATCAGTTTCTGTGGAATATAATTACTTATGTTTATTAATATTACTGAGGATGTTTCAATTAGGATTCTCTAGTCTTTATCAAGTAATCTGGAGTATAGAGAGTATCAGTTTCTGTGGAATATAATTACTAATGTTTATTACTGGGGATGTTTCAATTAGGATTCTCTAGTCTCTTATCAAGTAAATGATACAGTACATGTACATGTAATGGGGTATTTAATTAGTGGATTGTTCATCATTAATTAAGTTATTATTAATTTTTTTTAATTTTAACATTTCATTGATAAAAAAGAATTCTTGTCAAAACATCTCTCAGTAATTAACAATATTTGTATTCCATAGACATGGCATGTCCATTGACAGTGTTTCAGAGGATAGAGGTATGAATTCTGCATGTTCATGAAGGTTCTCTATATTTAAAATAATTGTGTTAAACTTTGTGTTACAGTAAATTTACAGTGTATGTCCTCTTTATTTACAGATTCACGCCGTCTCAAGCCTCCCAATAGAAAAAAATATGAAGAAGAATTGGAAGGCTACCAAAATAAAATCAAAGATCTGGAGACACAGCTTGTATCCTTTTTAGATAAGGTTAATTTAATTAAAAAACCAGCGGCTGCTAGACAGGATACGCCCACATTTTCGAGAGATCGATAGAAAACAAGCTAAAAGGAAAGTGATTTTTCCTACAATCAAGGGCCATAATTCAGGAAATTACAATTCGATATGCGCAAATATTGAAAGGAACCAAGATCTTTGGGTTATAAACTTACATTTCAAGTTTCAACAAAATCGGATAAAAATTGTGACCTCTATAGGGTCCACAACCTTGATATACCATATTTTTACGCAATTTGAGAACGAGGGGCGGCCATTTTGTCTGTCAGTTTTGGGCCGATTTTCACGAAATTCAAACTCAGTCGTCCTTAGGGTGTAACGGTGATATAATAGTACGTTTTTTTTTAAATCGGATAAAAATTATGACCTCTATAGGGTCCACAAGCTAAAAACGCGATTTTTCGTACAATCAGGGGCCATAATTCAGTAAGTTACGGTTCGATATGCGCGAATATCAAAAGGAACCAAGATCTTTGGGTTATAAACTTAAATTTCAAGTTTCAACAAAATCGGATTAAAATTGTAACCTCTATAGGGTCCACAACCTTGATATACCATATTTTTACGCTATTTGAGAACGAATGGGCGGCCATTTTATCTGTCAGTTTTTGGCCGATTTTCACAAAATTCGAACACAGTCATCCTTAGGGTGTAACGGTGATATAATAATATGATTTTTTAAATCAGATAAAAATTATGACCTCTATAGGGTCCACAATGCAAAAAACGTGATTTTTCGTACAATCAGTGGCCATAATTCAGGAATTTACGGTCCGATATGAGCGAATATCGAAAGGAACCAAGATCTTTGTGTTATAAACTTACATTTCAAGTTTCAACAAAATCGGATAAAAATTGTGACCTCTCCCTTGATATACCATATTTTTACGCTATTTGAGAACGAAGGGCGGCCATTTTGTCTGTCAGTTTTGGGCCGATTTTCACAAACTCAGCCGTCCTTAGGGTGTAACGGTGATATATTAACACGTTTTTTTAAATCGGATAAAAAGTATGACCTCTATAGGGTCCACAAGCCAAAAAACGCGTTTTTAAGTACAATCAGGGGCCATAATTCAGGAAGTTACGGTCCGATATGCGTGAATATCGAAAGGAACCTAGATCTTTAGGTTATAAACTTAAATTTCAAGTTTCAACAAAATCGGATAAAAATTGTGACCTCTACAGTGTTCACAAGCCAAAAACATGATTTTTCGTACAATCAGGAGCCATAATCCATGAAGTTATGGTCCGATAGATGCCAATATCAAAAGGAACCGAGATATTAGGGTGATAAACCTATATTTCAAGTTTCATTGAAATCGGATAAAAATTGTGACCTGTAGACTGTTCACAAACAATTGTGTACGGACGGACGGTTGCGACGACAATATACGTCCACATGAAAATGTGGGCGTATAATGACATTAATCAAAATGCATTCCAGAATTATGATCTTAATTGTCAAAACAAGGTCTGTTGCTATCTGTTATGCAGGAAGATATCAATTAAAGCCTCAAAATGCCAGGTTTATTTATAGATTTTATGACCATGTATACTCAAGACATATTTATTTAAATTGGTCCGAAAACCATTCAAATCGATCAGTCCTAACTAGAATTTATTGCTGTTTTATGATTATATTGATTTAAATAGACAAATATAGCATGCCCATTCTGTGATGCATTTACACACCTGACACAAATATTGCCAGTAAATGAGGATTTCCTTTGCAGTATTGTTTTCTGTGACACATTCTTAACTGGGCAGTGATATTATTGAGGAAGTTTATGATTGCTTATTTCCACCCTAAAAAGAGCGACAGGAAATGTGTAAATCCTGATTACTACACTCTATAGATTCTAGATGAATCTATAGTTACACAGTGATAGTGTCAATTATATATCAAATTTTCTGTGTTTTTTGAATGTCAATAGTTTGAATGTACTACTTTATGGAAATAAATGTGGCTGTTATGATAGAAAGTCAATTATCAGCTGAAGCGTGAACTAATTTATTTTAATTTATTACGCTTAACCATTATTATCAGACTGCAGCAAAGTCTGGGGGAAATGCTAAGGAGCTGAGAGAGATTCGGGTTGAAAAAGATGCAACTTTTGAAAGGAATAAAAAGATCAACAATGACTTAAAGACTTTGAATCAAGAGATTTCAGCCAAGGTGAGACTTTTCTTCAGTTAACCACAATCCTTAAACATACATTATGCAACAGCTAAATCTGCCTATTGCAGGTCTTTCTTTGGGCCTGAAATGTTATCTAAATTATTAATTAGTCATTAATTAACTTATCTAGACCATAATCAACTCACGATAGCATCGGTATCCTGCGATATTTACTGGATTACAATCAGATTTGCTGCGCAACTTTCATTCATGATTTAATCATGAAATGGATAATTGAGACTATGTTTTTTATCACACCGACTTTAGTAATGATGATCGAGGCTAGACCAAAAATTCAATCGCTAAAATCTCGGTTCAGAGTGGAGCAATTTGACTGAAATTTTCAGCAAATTCCCTTTATACATTATCTAGTTTTTACAAGCTCTTTATCTAATTTCCTATCATGTATCTTTAATTTTTAATATAATTTGTGACAAATGGTTGTATGATAATGAAATGCACTTACCTTTAGCTATTTTGAATATCTCAATTTAAAAATTGTGGTTGTTTTACAGTATTTATTTTCAAATTACTTCTGAGTGTGATAATAAAATTTGACTTGATATTTTGAAAAGTTACAAATTTAACTAAAGAGGGATTGCTGGATGTGACCCTTTAGATTCATACTCTACTTTAGACCAAGTACATATGATCAGCTTATTAACCATTGCTGTGAATGGTTTTTGATTAGTCAGCAAACGAATGTGCGCCACACTTGCTTGATATTTGATGTAGCAATGGTAAATGAGCTAGTAATGCTTGTATCCATTGGTTCAGGCATGTGAACTGTGTTTTACTATAGCTATTTCATTTTTGGGGTCTCAGCACTTTACATATATTATAATTGTTTGTAAATCTCACTATTTTATAATAAATATTTGACAGTGGGTTATATTAATCCATACAGTGTTTATATAGACAACCTATTTTTCTTTTACAGACCAGTAAAGTTTCTCAGATGCAATCTGGTTTAGTATATAAAAATGAAGAGAAACACAACGATGCTATAAGGTAAATGGTTCACTCCCAGTGTTGGCCGAGAGAGAGAGAAATGGGGTTTAACGTCCAATGGATACAAACTAGGTCATTTCGGAACTAACATATGGTTTAATTTTTATTTCAATAATTCGCTTCCGCGTAGGGGTCTTTAGCAGTGGGATCAAACCGGGGGACCAAGAGAAAACCCACAAGGTTGGACAGGTGTTGGCCGAGAAAGTTCATCGGGAATTTCCGCCGTGGTTTCCCCATGTGGTCAGTGGTGCAATACGGAGGGCCTGACAAGGACATCTGTCTAATGGTTCAGATGGGATGAAAAACCAAGGTCCCGTGTACACATTGGGGTACATGTAAAAGATCCCTTGGCAGTTCAAATTCGATATAAGAGTAGGCCTTAGCGCCGCTGTCCGGACAAAATTTCCCTCACAACACACTCTAGTAGGACGTTAAACCCCATTTCATTTCATTTCAGTAAATGACAGTTAGTTATCCGAGCAATACCTGATTTTCACAGAATATCTGTTATTGAAAGTGTGTTGAAGAATACAATAAAACTCAAATTAAAAATATAACCAATTAACATGTCTGAAGGCATCATCTCAAAATATTGAGTCATTCAGAAATGAGCACCAAAATTACTAAAAGGGGTTAGGTAACTCGGATAAAAAATTTTGCTTACTGTTTATTCGTAATTTGTGACATGATAAATGTGACAGCCACACTAGGAAAAGTTTATGGGTGTGGTTACCCAGACACTTCTGTAGTTAGAAAATTGTAAAACTGACCGTCTGTAAACCCAGCAGCTCTACAGCATTGAAAGGTGAAACAATCAAGGACTATATGATTTTGTTGTCTGTGATTTTAAAAGTCACATTAATGGTAACATGAAATAAGACAGTTGACGGCATTACCATTTACATCACAAAGTATTTCTTGATTTCTTTTGCAGAAAATTGGAATGGAATTTGGCTCACCATTCCTACAGACTAACAGAAGAAAGAAAAATTGTAGCAGAAATTGATAGACTGAAAAGATCAAAAATATCTCTCATGTAAATATTTCTTTCTTTTTTTCTTGTGTTTAAAGGAATCGATATTTACCTAGGAAATATTTCAGTATGAACATTTTAACATTGTTGCATTTATATGTGAATAATGCATAATATGCTAAGATGTCAGTGGCAGACATACTAGTTGACACTATGTAATGATTAACTTGTTTATTTTATTGTGGGCTTTCAAGGCTATTTGTGTTCATAATTTAAATTTTTGGACATTCTGTGTCTATAGATGGTTGAAAGCTGAATGTCTTGACAGTGTTGATAATGAGCATTTCCTGCTCAATTTAAGCAAATTGATAAGTAATTTCATGGGTTAATGCTATATAGAAAAGTATATATATGCAGTAGTTAATTATGAGTGCTCTATATATTTTGGGATAAAAGTATGGGGACATCAATCTTACTGTTTCTACACATTTTGCTAGTACATGATTATTCATTATTGTTTATTCACTGCTTTACTGTTTCAGAGCATATAACAATGCCAAAAGTCAGGTGGATGAATTACGAGGTAAACAAAGAAGAATGAGAGAAGAAAGAGATGTAAGTTTCACTATAATTGTTATTGTGATTTGATCAACATATACTATTTTTATACAATCACATATGAATGTAGTCACTATGACATCAGTATAAATATACACTCACACCTAAGTTAGTTGTACTTGTATTACCCCCATGTCTGTTGGTCTGGTTGATCCCAATTTTTGGCCACCCAGCCCTGTAATATACAATTACTACCTTACACTTACAGCCAAAAAACTGCTGGTGTAGGAATATTCATTGCCTGGCAACACTATGTTTAAAAAGTTGTCGTTCTGTTTGAAATATTTGGATTTTGTTGACATTTCACATCCAAAACCTAAAATACTCTCGAGGTTATTTGTTTGGAATTACAAAATTCTGCCCAAAGAAATGACTATTAGATAGATTACTGAAAGCTGATTTGGTTCTTTTGCATCTAGAAAGTGAACAGCGACTGTTGCTGTATTATTTATTTACCATCTTGTTTTATTTTACAGCATTATTCTAAAACAATAACTTCATTACGAGCTCAAGAAGATGAAGTAAAACGAAGATTATCATCTAGTAGAATAACGACAGATTCTATTAAAAAAGGTCAGTTTAGTTAGTATATGATTTAACTGTCATTTTCACTTTAAGCTTCTGTAAAAAAAATAACAAATACAGAAAACAATTGTACTACTCACACAAAGTTAATACTTTAAGAAAGTGGGCTGTTTATTGGTTAAGCACTAATTTCACATCACATATCTTAGCTCTTGGCCAATAGAAAGGCTGCATTCTTAAAATGTTTTGTTGAATAAGGCTCCAGATCTAGTTATTAGGGTCAGTCTGCTTTTAGAGAGAATAAATATTAATTATCTGAGTAGAACAGATTTTTACTTGACCCATGTGTAACAAAAACATGCATGTTTTGGGGGGGGGGGGGGTCGGGGAATTTGGGAATTGTTTATATTGAAAGAATATGATTTCAGGACTAAATTGTGGTATTATTTCATTAGAATAATTGATTGAGTTTTTAGATGGAATGAATTGGCCAGTTTTCAGGATATGTTGAATGTTTTCAAACATGATTTCAGAATTAGATGAACAATATCAAGGTAAACGAAAATTAATCGAAGATTTTAAACGACAACAGACAGATTTTCAAGAATCCCAAAAGAAACGAAGACAAGAAAGCTTCAAAAAGAGGGAGGAAGAAAGAAAAGCCATTCTAGAAGCCAAGCAAAAGGAGGAGTAAGTCACTTACATGTATTAGTCATATAATCTCAATCTTCATTTTGCCATCCTTATATGTATACATAGGCATTTTGCGAGCGATTGGGTTTATCCAAAAAGTAGGAGCAGTTAAAATGTATTAAGTTAGAAAATGGATATAATACTTATCCAATAAGATATACTTCTGAGTAAATATATTAATTAAATGAAATGTCGTGTATTTTTTTAACTACTATGAATTTGCTTGAAATAAGTTAGACTTTATACTGAAGCGAAACAAAAGGCTACATGCATTTAATGTTATCGTCATCTATGGAGGTATGAGCTGTGGTATTTGGTATATCATACTTTTATTGTTAAGTTAATTTTAATTTTCTAGGGAAGAACTTGAACAGATGAGAATTCCGTTTGAAGATGAACGTATACTGTGTAATACACTTATCAGTTATCTGCAGGGATTCTCATATACCATGACCCCTGACACCCAACAGCCAACCAATGAAAAGACACAAACTTCTACATCAAATATAGCACAAAATCAAGGTTGGTAAAAAAAAAATAATCTTTTTTTAAACAGATTGAATTTAACCTTAATGAGAAAGCTTTTTAAAACATTCTGCTAATTGAATGTTATTTTGAAAAAACTCATACCACGTCTCATAGTATACTAATCACCAGTGTCCATAATATATTTGTATTAGAAATTATGATTGATTTTGTTGTCAATATAAACTTAGATTTTTAGGTTTCCTTAAGGAAGTATTTAATGAAATTAATTGAGTGAAATATTTAAAGTGTTTCTGATTGCGATGTCTTAATGAATGGTTCTGTCATTATTTGTTGTGTAGGTATCCTACGGTGTCTGTATACATTTGAGACGGGTTTGGGGTGGCCGATTGGTTAACATGCGTGACCTGGATCATAACGTCTGTCATTGAGTCTTTTGGTGTGCTTTCGATTCCCCGCTTGTACGTGACAAGGAGTAGTGTCGCCTGTCCAACCTCATGGGATTCTCTGGGTCCTCCAGTTTCCTCCAACTGCTAAAGACCCATATGTGCAAGCGAATTATTGAAATAAAATTGAACCTTATGTTAGTCCTGAAATGACCTAGTTTGTGTCGAGTGGGCATTAAAATTCATTTCTCTCCCTACATTTGATTTTATTTTCAGGATGTGCTACTAGTGGTCCGGCTGAGGAACTTGAGGATGGTAATTTAATCCTTCTACGTAAATCGGATGACAACGATTTTATTATAGGAAATGTTCGAAAACCAAATAAAAAATCTAGAAAATATCGCAAGGCTTCAGGAGTAAGTTTGACTAAAATTTATTTGTAATTCATCCTTGTCCCCCGCCTTTTCAAGAAATGGTTTTGTTCGTCTGTCTGTCCGTCACACTTTTTGGAACAAAATAACTAAGTGTGATGAAAATTTTATTGTTATAATTTTATTACATAGTACCTTGATTAAGTTCAGTGATGAGCATTTTCTGCTTAGGCTATGCAGAGATAATCAATTTAGTTTGTCGATGCTTTGGGACTCAGTAACTTGAATTCTAATTGAGTGAGAGTGAGGAAACTTGGTGTATGTGTAGTTCCATTACATCAGTACCTTGACTAAGTTTGATTATGAACATTTTCTGATTAGGCCAAGACTTTGGAATACAAAAGCTGTGCTTTTAATTGAGGTAGAATTTTCAAACTTGATGTAGATGTAATAAGGTGGATGTCTATTTATATACATAATTACATATCTTATTTTTCCAGACTAAATATATTACTCATTGTCCTCAAGTTATTGGTCAGTTTTCATCACTTAATTTACGAGCTCCCTGTAGCGCAATGGAAATACCAGCATCTCTTGAACAACTCCGAGCCAGAAAGGTATGTTGGGTAAATGCCTGCATAATTTTGGTTTAGAATGGCCCTTCCTATATAAAATGGAAGTTATTTAGTCTTATTTCTATAATGCTTTCTTAGCTCAGTCCATTATTTACTGGTATCATGTAGAAGAGTCACCTGTGCAACCAAAAGCCAAAGTGGTCTTATCGAGGAGATTGCTAAACCTCAGTTTCCTTTTCCCGTCAATCCCTGTCAATTGAGTAAACATGATAATTTCAGTTGACAATTCAACTAATTGTGATACTATTTCGATCAATCACCATAGCTGTGACCAGACCCTATTCTGTGTTGCCCTATTTCAATTCTGTGTCACCATGTTTGAATTCTGTCACTTTGAAGCATCATGAACGAATGCACTCTATCATATACACTCCAATATCTCTTTTTTTTCCTGTATCAGGTTTTCTATGAACAGAAAGTAGAGACACAGAGTAATATCTCACTAACAGAGAGTGGAATATGTGAAATGTCCCGTCAGGCCAGCAATACTGAATCATGTGGAAGTGGCTGTGAAACGCGGGCTCCAGAAGATATTATGGATGAACTCCTTAGCGATAAAAACTGCTATCACGATTTCCCATGTGTCAACGATTCTGTGACACAAACAAATGACAACCATTCAACTGCAGGTTCCAATACTCCACGTAATTTGAGTATCAGCAGTGGTAGTATTATGTCAACCGATGTAGATGACATAGACAATAATGGACAATCCTCACTGGAGAATTCAAATGGTCACCTGTCTCAAATTGACCATTCAGAGCATCCATCTGATAATTTTAAACCTATACAACCTGAAGAAGTATTGAACAACAGCCAATCATGTTTCAGCTCATGCAGCCAATCAGAGTCTGTCTCCTATATCAATGACAAAGCTCATTTGAACCAGTTAGTGACTTTAAACCATAAAGAGAATAATGTTGTTCATAAGGTCCTTGGAAATGGCATTTTAGCTAAGATTTATGAACGTGACGAAACTGTGAACAAAGCTATTGTATGTAAAGAGAATGTTAGTGATGATAGTGATGCAAACAGCCAAAGTGAGAGTGAACAAATGAATATATTGTGTGAGTCGTTAGGAAAAGCAAATGTGATGTCGGAAGTGAACACTGACAAGGAAGAGGAAATAACTCATCTCTAATGTGTTTAGCCTCTCTTATCCAGTCAGATATTGCATTTTTGGTGTATTACCCTTTATAGAAATGATTATTACAAACTCTTACATAAAATAACATAAAGGTTCAATATTTGATTGGGTGACGGAGGCCAATGAAGAGAGATTTTATTTTTTATCGTTATTAGAATATTTATTAGATATATAATGAAATGTTTTTATGATTGACTTAAGTGCCAGAGTTTTTTCAAAAATATCATATGTAAACAATTTGTGACTATTTAGCAACTTGTGAAATGATAAAATAAGTTAAACCTAATTTCTCTTTGACAGAGACTTGTGAATGTGCACAAAATAGTTTGAATAATGTATTATAGTTGTGTATATTTATTTTTATTTAATGAATATTGTTCATATTGCTGCATTTCATGTCCCCTGATGAACTGGTAATTACCACTTGTGAAGTTACTATTACTACTTGTGATGTTATAATTACAAGAAAAATTGTTTAGTGGTATCTTCACAAATCAAATATGAAAATAATTTTAACACCAGCTTCAGAATCCTGTATTTGACTTAAACAATATTTTATTTCTATTATAACATGATTATTTACAATACTGATATTGTGGATCTGAAAACAAGCCATAGCTTATATAAATTCATTCTGTATTTCATGTCAATCAGTTGATAACTTCCTAAATTTATTCTTTAAAATATGCAATTGTCAGTAATAGTAGATGCACATTTCTACCAACTTTAATTAGTTATGTACTGCACAAAATTCTTCTGTATCGTGGACTGGTAATGTCATAGTGTTGTGTGTAACTGCATGTAGCATAAATATGCTGCACAGTACCAACCAATATGACTTATTTTAAAAGATATATTGGTCAGACAATTTAATTTGTAAATTTTGATTTTTGGTTTGCATTTAAGATGTGGGAGTGGATGGGGTGTCATTGACATGAAATAGTGTTTAGCCTCTCTTCTTGAATACACCATGCAAGTGTGCTATGAGGAAAATTTTGTTAGGACAGTGGTGTTTCCATCTATTCTTCATTGAAATCCATCTGCCAGGAGATTTTCTCTGTGTACTACTACTGTACACCAATGTATACACAAGACCTAATATGTTCGTCCCGACCAAATCACTAAATGCTGTTCCTTGCCATTCCCCCACCCCCAGTCCTGTACCACTGATGAGGGGAAACCAAGTTTAATAATCTTTAGGTACTTGCTTGGCCAACACATGGATCGAACCCAGTTTGTCATTGAAGTAGACAATTTTTTTATTGGGCTTTGTGGTCCCTTAAGGCATTTACAATAGGGACGAATTGTCTCCAGCATTTATGAGATCTATTGTTCATCAAATGCACAAGCCAGATCTTTTCATCTATTGAAAAGTCAAATAATATGTACCATTTTTATTCTGTGGTTAAGCACATCTGTGTATAGAAGGATCTCTAGAAGAAATGGCTGGCTTGTACAATTATTATTACTGTCTAAGAGAGAGAGATATGGTGATATGAAATCAATATAAACCATTGTACCTGGTAACTTAAAATAGCCCATAACTTAGTTAGTACTGATTGATTTGAATAATATTTGGACAAATGCATATTTTGATTAAAGTACTTTTAACTGTGTTTGCTCTTAAACTCTATATTTAACCTTTATTCTGACATGTTGGGGCTTTAATGTTATATGGTTATTATTTTGGTTGAATATTAAAGTCATGGATTAGATCAGTTTTGTTTGAGCAGATTAATTGATCTGTGCTGCATAAAAATACAGTGCAGATGTGCAGTAGTTTTTATATTTGCTAAATGGCAAGGGCACAAATTCATGATTTGTTGCCATAGCAACATAGAGTTTTCTCCTGTTCATATTCAAAGCATTTATAATGATATATGCAATGCTTACTATAATTTATTCTTGTAAGACAGTGTCCATCTACAACCCCCTCCTTTATCAACTGACTTAATATTTTATTCATTTTGAATATTTTATTTACTTTGAATATTTTTTATTTATTTTGAATATTTTTTATTCATTTTGAATATTTTTTATTCATTTTGAATATTTTTTATTCATTTTGAATATTTTATTCACTTTGAATATTTTATTCACTTTGAATATTTTATTCACTTTGAATATTTGAATGGCGGAATGAACGATAATAGAATGAATTGAAGATTAATAAAAATATGATACGACATGTATGTATCAGATGAGTTTTTAAAATGATATTTTTTATCTTACTATGAAATGTTTTGGAGATTTTTTCATGTTTTGTTTATTTAAAGTGGTACTTTTGTGATGTAAATGGATATTAATGAAGGATCATTACAGTCTCCTTTCAAAGGAATTGTAATTTAAAGAGAAACTGTCACTTTAAGAAAATATATTGTAATAAAAGACTTGGTGTAATAATAGTATAGTCAAATCTTTTTGATAGCCAAAGTGAGAGTGTCTCTTTAAAATCCTGATTTGAAGTCAAAGATTCATGGATGCTTTCCATGATTTTGTACTTTATTCCAGGTTTTATGGTACAGACCCCAGACATAATTTTGTTTTGTTTGTATTTTTAGTTATGGTAGTCATTGTTTGCAATATTCTTATTTTATTTGTTAACTTTTGTTTAACGTGTAGTGCGGTCCTCCTGCACTTACTATTAGAGAACAGCAGGTCTGTTTATGGAACATATGTATATTAGTCAGATTAGTCATAGATATTATGAAATTATATGTATCGGTATTCATAGATTTAATGTGGAATGGCTCAAAAAAATTAATGTTTAAATAAACAAAATAAGTGGCAAGGGACTCGGGCGTAAAAAAAAATTTTTAACAGGTGTAAAAAATATTCTAATTTATAACTCTCCACATGCACAAACATTTAAAGAGCCATTATTACTTTCAACAAAAAGTAAATGTAATCAAAATTTGAATATAATATTCAAAAAACCCCAAAACTCTCCTAATTATTGAATCTTTTCTCTAAGCAACCAAGATCTCCAAAGCAATAATGCCTCTTTAAGAAACAATGTTAGTCCCGAATTGATCTGTGTTAAAAATTTCAGAACTTGATCATCATCCATGTTATTTTATTGACTCAGTACAAACCTTAAAGCACAATCAGTATTTTAAAAGACTGTTATGTTTAGTATTTAAATTAACTTTTTTTTTCTGGTTTACATTGCCTTTTCTATAAGGGGGTAAATACAGTAATGTAATATTAAAAAATTTCTGTTAATCCATAACATATCCCTCTATTTGTTAGAAATAAGAATATGTAAATTGCTAATTTCGATAAAGTCTAAATAAAATATAAAAGATAATAAAAATCTATATTTTATACTTGATGCTTCTTCGTGGATCCCTCTCCTTGAAAATTTCTAACTTAAATAAACTTTCCAGGGGGTATTATGACATTTGTACAGTTGGAACTTTTAATTTTCTTGTAAATATTTATTAAAAACAAATATTAATCTGCACAATGATTCTTTAGTTTTTGGCATGTGTATTTATCCATAATTTTATTGGATTTTTTATGATTTTGTTATGGAAGTCCAGTAGTTCCCCCATAAATTCAGTATCGTTTAAATAGTATTTCCAGTGCACTAAATTGTATTTTTGGTTTTCTTTTAATTTATATGTGTTTCTGTTTAATTAAGTTATTAAATTATTTATTTATTTGCTTTATTAATTTAATTTTAGTTCTGGGAAGTGAGTGGGAATTGTTTAAAGCTGTCACAAAATTATCAGTCCCAAATGCATAAGTCTATTAAAACAACAAAAGTTGCTAATGAAAAAAATAACTATGAAATGCAGCGTTCATAATAATGTATTTATAATCAGATTAAAATATTTTAAAGATATGGCATTTTCATTGGTTAAATACTTGATGCGTCATTTAGCACTATAGGAATCCCTTGCAAACTACAATATTGTGAAAGTTCAATCTGTAATATGAATATCAGTCCAAAAATGGTTCAATTCCATTTAGTATTTACAAAGTTATGATAAACTGAACTTTCATCGATCTATTCTTCTTGAGTGTAAAAGGACACTGCCATCTTTTATAGGTAGCAAAGAAACCTGATAGGCCTAGTTTAAATACGATTGAATCCAAGCCGCGAGATAAGCTAGCGTTGGTATTTGAATTTTTTTTTTTTTAACTAAGTGTTATATAATCAGTATGAGTATATAATTAACATGTATTAAGCTGCGAGATATTTGATATTTTAGCGAAAATGCAATTGACGCATCAGACCTTTAAAGGTTGATATTCTAGTTCTTAGCCAATAAGTCTGTATTTTAAAAATATTTTAGTTTATATGATTAGTTTGGCATTTATAATTTCACAAATCTTGTCAGTGGAAGGGTTTAGCTTGGACTCTGTTTAAGCTAATATTGTTTCCATCTATTTTTTGTCATATTTGTATAAATGTGTTATGATCTATTTTAAAACTGAATTTAAGAGTATTTGTTGGGATTTTTTTTTTTTTAAAATATGTGTACATTTTATTTTTGAACCTTTTATGATAATGTAAAAAATATTTTTATTTACAGCCCCCTAAAAAAATTAATTTTTAGCAAATAAAATTTGTAAATTAAATCGAAAAAAAAAATAGTGAAAATTTTGTAGAAATTTATAATACTTTGTTATTGAGGAAATAACAAAACCTTATGCACATTTATTGTACCATACAATTTAATTAGTGTGTTGCAATTGAAGCGTTTGGACTTTGGACAGATTTTGAAATTGTGCTTACCAGCACATTGAAATGTGGTTGTATGTTGTCGTGGCCCTTGCCTCTCCATGGTCCACAATTACATGTGTATATTCTAGAGACAGAGTTGTCATCTGATTGACTTGACAGTTATACAGTGTTAGTGTTTATAATTCTATTGATTTTCAACGTTCCCGATAACTTGAACAGTTATCATCTGATTACCGGTATGGTTTGTTTATGCTATACTAAGAGGTTCTAGAGACATATCAAATGTTGAATTTTTTCTAGTAATCAACACAGATTAAAGTGTCTTGTAAATGCATCTATTAACTACAAAAAAATAAAATGTGACCACCTTTATGGACTGCTTGAATGACTTAGAGGTTGTGGGCGTATGGTAACATATCTTTTAAATACACATATTAAAATAACGAAACTCAAGTTAGAGCTGAACCAATACAAGCCCGACTCTATTTTATGATGTATTGTTGTGAATGTAATGTGTGCTATTAAGGCCAAATCCAGTGGCCTGACTTTACCTGTGGTCATTAGAAGCAGATTGGAAATAAATGGATTATAGATATTTACGCAATGTTATGTATTTTAATTCTTAAAGATGCATTATGTAGGATGTAGATAAAGAGCTGGCCATTCTTGTTATAATAGTTTAAAAAGAGAAAATGAATATATTGAAAATTCAGTCAAGTTACTTTATTCTGAATTGAGTTTTGACAAAATATAGCATAAATAGTCTTGATTGTAAAGTTCCCTTGCTACGATAATAAACAAAGTCTTGATTATCAATTTTAACATTAAATTATTATATGGCATTGATGTTCGGAACAATTTAATATTTCGGACATAGTTGTTTATTTTAGGGTGCCCCATGCAGTCAAAATTTGCTTTATTAAAAGTTGAACTCACCAAAGCGAATGTCCTCAAGTGATTACAGGGTAGACTCGCAGCACGAGAATAATCTAAAGTATGTTCTATTAGGCTATAAATAGCCATCGTACCTGAAATTTTCTACACATCCATCAACTATTAAAACCGTAAAAAATCTATTGTTAAAGATCCTGAATAACATTAATATTTAGCTTTTTGGTTGTTACAGAAACTTTAGAAAATTATGTTTTTTGGGGGGTTTTATTTGCTTTATTATTAACTATACCGTTAGTTACTAAATTAGATTTATTGGTTGGTAGACTGATTTAGCGGGACTAATTTCAAACTAAGGGGAAATAACCTATTTTGTACTCAAAAATACCCCGATATAATGGCCACTTTTTTACTTTTTCAATATATTTTTTTATTGGTTTTCCCTGGATCCTAAGGTTTCCTCCCATTGCTAAAGACTCCCTACGCGCAAGCAAATTGTTTAAATAAAATTGAACCATGTTAGTATCGAAATGACCTAGTTTGTGGACCGTAAACCACATTTCTCTCTCTCTCTCTCTCTCTCTATATATATATATATATATATATTTTTTTATTCATGTCTAAATGGTTATAACTTGTTAAATACAACACAACCGTTTATTTAGTGACTATAAATGTGAGGTGGTATGTTAAGACTTAATAATATTGTGGTATAATTGTCAAAATATTTAGAGATATTTATTTATTGTGGGGCATCCTATTTATGGGCTTGTGGTATGAATAAATGTCTAAATAATAATTTATATAACATTAAAAGCCAGAAAATAGGCCTACAAAAGGCCAATTGAGCTCTTGCATACTGCATCTTTAAAGTGACATTATCTATTTTAACAAGAAAGTAAATAATATAGTTAATCTTATATAATATTGCATTTAAAATAGCCCAAAAATCGCATAATTATTGCAAAATCTGAACACTGGTCTCCTTACAGAAAAGCTTTGTGCACAGCCTAATCTTTAGATTTAGATGTGTAGGTCAATATCTCTGGAAAATTATTTGTGCCAGTGTGTGAATATCTCAATCACACTAATGCCTCTTTAAATATTTATTCACAATCACAAGCATTAAAATTGAGAAATTCAGATTCAGAGTACCAGTGTATTTAGCCCTAAAACTTGACTGGTGCATCTTTGCATAAACAGAATTCTCTTTATTGTATTGACTGCTGATGAAAACATTATTTTTATTGCAATGAATTATCTGAAGCTCTGCTATATTAATTTTATCCAGGAAAATTAAAAGCATTAGAAAAGTTAATGTCATATTTTAAAATATGGTTTAAAATTTTTAAAGGTCCCAAGTTTAGGGTCTGTACTGTTTTAACTAATGAATTTGACAAATTATATAAGATTGATAAATGTGATCGGTGCCAGCAAAATCAGTCGGAAGTCGCATTCATTCATTTTGTGCTATAGGCAGTGGTGAAATTATTATTTTCAGTTATCACCAAACAATAGTTTGAAATCTTTTCTTTCAGAATTTTAAATCATTTTTAATTATTCAAACTCTTAAATGCTTCAAAAATTGATTTTAATAAGGGATGTGGAATCATACATGATCGAGATTCTCCATAAAACAATCGGAATTAGTTGTCTATTTCATGTTGAATAATTTTACAACCAGTACTCTGAACAGTAATTTTGTTTGTAATTTTAAAGCCTCGAGTTGTGCCTTTCAGGAAATGTATAGAACTTAATTTTGGTGAAGTAACCCAAGTTACTGATTTTGTTGGCACCGGTCAAAAATAATGTTTATATTAAGATGATTATTGTACATTTAATTTATTAATTTTTGTGGATGCAAATGTTTGTATATATATTTTTGACATATATTGACAGAAAAACAAATGCAGAAAAAACTCATGTGGATGTTAATTTTTTTTTAGTAGATTTTAATGGTCAATGAAATGGGGTGGGAGTGGGTGTTGGGTTCCTGGAGTGGAGTGGAAATATTGCCATAGTTCAATATGATGTTTTACAAATTACCCAGCTGCCATTTTGTTTCTTTTTACCACAGATTACATTGAGGAACATTGAATAGTGAGAGCAGAATATATGCCCCCTAGACATGCCCCTGTATGACAAATGCCCATGGACAAAAGCTTCATCGCCACTCATATTGACATATAACCACATAAAGAAGTAGATTCTAGTATGTTTAATTATTTGTATCAGGGTGTTTGTTCTTGATGAGTGCCGAAAAGTATGTATAATGCTCAAAATAATCTCAGCAGGGTTTACATGGAGTGCAGTATATCAGGTAGAGCCAACCATGATTATATGGAAGGGATAAACACAACTTTAAGGTTATGGTTGAAAAAATCACCTGATAATAAATCTGATAAAAATGTCCAAGGTCTCTGTTTTACCAGGGAGTTCTTCACATGAGTTGACATTTTTTTTAGCATAAAAGTGGGGGAATGCTTGATTTCACAAATGAATTGTCTCAAAAAAAGAAAACGAATTAAGTTGTTACGCTGTAAACTAAGTTTTAAATGACTTTATGCAAGTCTTTATGGATATCCCATGTCGACAGTTGAGTAGCCAAGATTTTCTTAAGCACAATATTTTCTGGAGGTACCACAGCATTTATTGGGGTCAAAAGAAAGTGAACATGTCCAACCTCTGTCAATAATTGAACATATGAAAGATGAATATGTCTACAGGCTACTCAATTTAGAACACCTGATACCATTTGCCTGTGAGGTCATGTGTTGAACAATGTAATTGTGTTGAACATGGCTTATTTCAGCAGATCTCTTGGTTAAGCAGTGGGGCAAAATTGTCTATTGGAGGTGCCAAGGGACCAAATTCTGAAAGGAAAGTAGATAAGGTATATTGTTCTATAGAAAACCTGAATAACCTGTGATGGTGAATGAAGATAACGCATTTCATTAAAGGAAAACCTTTAAAAATATTAAATGTGTGCTTCACCCTACATGTTAGTATTTTTGACCACTAATTACTTCCCTTGAATCTTATCAGAGCCATCAAGTTCTATTCCCCAGAAGCAACAGCACACTTAAAAAAATAATGTCCTCCACTATTGAAGAAGCGACCGAAAGAGAGGGGAAGCTAGTTTTATGCATTGGATGGACATGCATAGATATCGTAAATATTGTTGATTTTTTTCCAAAAGAAGATGCAGACTCTAAGTAAGAAACAAAAATCGATTTATTTACGTGGTGTTGAAGACTAAAGGGAGATAATTGAGTCAAAACTTTCAGGAATAAGACTAATAATTTTTTTCTCCATTGACTTAAATGTTAAGTCCATTATATACATTTCTTGGACTACAAAATGTTTTTTAACATTCCGACAATCTTAATCTATATAACTCAAAGAGCCCAACATGTCACAATCATCTGCTAAAGCCATTAAAATTTGTTGACCATTTCGGCAGCTTTGCCTGTCGTCTGTCTCAGAAATGAATCCGATGCCAGGGATTGTATCCTAAGTTATTTTAGAGTAGAGAAAGTGGAAGAAATAAAAATATGGGGGCCTGTTCTTATTATCTGAAGTGACATTTGTATTGCATTGTTATTTTTTTTTGGTAGAATAGTGGAATATTATTGGCAGAGAGGAGGTAATGCTAACAACTCATCTACAGTATTATCAGTATTAGGTCGATCCTGTGAACTTCTATCTGTCATTGCTAAAAATAGCAGAGAATATGAGTAAGTCGTTCCATTACATTTTATCTTTCAACCTTATTACTTTTTTCTTAAAATCTAATTATCAAATAGAAGCATCTACAGAATCTGCCTATCAATTTTTTCTAACTCTAGATGGTAACTTATTGATCTGTAATCTTGATATTCACTGCACATGCTATTTTTCATAAAGTGATTCACATTAAAAATAAAGTATCTTAACACTGTACATACATAACAATTTAACTATCAACCATTAAAAATTTGGCTTTAAAATTGCTAAAAGCCGGGATATTACTTATTTTTATAACATCACTAATGTATCAGCCTACTATTATACTGAATAAACCAACATTGATGCACACAATAAATAAACAGACCTCTACCCAAAAATTTGACCAGATGGTATTTTATACTTTTTTATCGGTACACTAATTCAAATGGATTATTTCAAGTGAATACTGTATTTAAATGATAGTATATTATTTCATTTTCAGGTTTTTGATGTCAGATATAAACAAGTATGGTATTAAAACAGATAATTGTGTTTTCATTGATAAAAATCAATGTCCATTATCAACAGCGATTTTATCTTTAGAAACTGGCAGCAGAACTATATTACATACATTAAGGTAAAGAAAATACTGACACTTCAATATTCTGTCATTTTGTCAAATCTGACATCTCAGTATTCCATCATTTTGTAATATCTGACAATTCAGTAGTCGATCATCTTGTAAAATCTGACTTCTCAGTATTCAATAATTTTGTAATATCTGACAATTCGGTAGTTGTAAAATCTGACATCTCAATATTCTATCATTTTGTCAAATTTGACATCTCGATATTTTATCATTTTGTCAAATTTGACATCTCAGTAGATATTGCTCTGTAAAATCTGACACCTCATATTCCATTACTATAAAATCTGACCTCTTAGGGTCAGCTGTAAGATTGTCTGTATGTTTTCAAACTTATTGTTCTTTGTTAAATAAAAGTAATAATTGAGTATATCAATATTTATCTTTTTAGAGATATTCCAGAAATCACCTATGAAAACTTTTTGCCTATATTTGATGAGTCTAATAAATATTCATGGATTCATTTTGAGGTATGACATTTTGATCTAGTTGTTATTTACTTTGTACCTGAGCCCTATTCCTAGAAAATTCTTAAGGACGTTCTTATGCTTAGATTTTAAGTAGACTTTGCATTTAAGTAAATTTATATTATTTTCTGTTCCCGGAAAATTCTTAAGAACATTCTTGTACTTAGATTGCAAGTAGACTTCGGGGTAAGCACAAGCACGTTCTTATGTGTTCCAAGAAAATACTTAAGCAAAACCTTGTTCTTAATCATTGTCAATCTAAGCACAAGTCCCAAGCAAGGTATACAGCTTGCTTACCAACCTCAAGTCTGTTTCTTCTTCAAACAAGATGGCTGACCATAGAGATATTTGACGGCATTTCCGACATCTTTTGATACCAAAAAGACAATTAAAAGACAGAAAATCCTTTAGTTAGGAACATTTTCTCGATAAGAATATAGAAAATTTCGCTTCTACCCCGAAACCATTTTATTTATTTGCCAATTAGTAAACAACACAAACACGGGCTACTTTAAGATCAGGCGCTCTCACAATTATTCCATCTGTTTGCAGGTGCTTGCGTTTTTTAGCTTGTGGCACATTTTATATATGTATAGGGGACATGTCAAATGCATCTAAATTGACCATTTGCCAGGAAGTTAATGTCATTTATCTATTTATAACTCTATGCAGCCGACCAATTTATGACGTAATTCGCATACCAAAATTGTTTTTCTGACGTTGAAGGGCATTGTAGTCTCAATTTACAAGTTACGATGTGCTATGACTCATTTTTGACTTGTGCTTACGTAAGAATGGTCTTGAGAATTTTCTAGATACGGTATTTTATAAAGTTTCTTACATAAGTAAAACTGAAGCATGACTCTTTGCTTACTTTAAGAATTTTCTAGGAACCGGGCCCAGGGCTTCCCCTTCAAACTTCAGCCAGTCGTCAAATTTTGATGTACAAGTACTTTTGTTTACTTCGAATTAGTATGAATATGGCACTTTTTTTAACATTACATCAGATTTGTAAACTGTCTCTATATAGTGTTTTATGGCATTTGGAAATTGACAGACGGGTAAGTTCTTCAGCCAACCAATTTCAGCTGTCTGGGCTAAGTTCAGGCATGTATGGTAGTCTCAAAATGACCACAGATTGTGGTAGCAATTTATTGAACCCTACTTTTGGTTTCTGATTTCTCATATTAGGAAAAATTAAGGCTAAATTTCCTAACTGCTAGAAATGGGAGTTATTTGGTGATTTTATTGAACTGTTTTATTTTCAGGGTCGACCTAATATAGAAACTATTTGCAATCTATTAGTTAAACTTGATGAGTTGAGTAATAGAAGTGAGATAACCACATCAGTAGAATTAGAACATCCTTATATAGAAGATTTAGGTAAGGAGCAGAATACTGTTTCAAAACAAGTCACCTTTTTATGACTTGTGTTTAAGATAGCAGTATCTAAACCAAAGATCAGTACCGGATCTAGGGTGGGGTGGGGTGGGTGTCAAAGTGGGAAAAATGCTGCATTCAATATATATGACACCTTTTATACTGAAAAGGACTATGTGGGTAATTTTGACTTGGGCTGGAAATCCGCTGGTGGATGTTTAGAGTGCCGATAGTTCATCAGGAAATGTGAGATCATTCATACATTAGTGACTGTTTGTCTTTAATAATGACTAGCTGGGATTCGTACCTTGATTGAAGTTTAAAACTTATGTTCTAACACAATTTTTTTAAATATATTTCTATATTATTAACTTATGTTACTAGCAAACAATATACCTCAGAATGCACCAAATCAGATCTATTTTTCAAAATTATCTGGGGGGGATTTAAGTAGCTCCTGACCCTAAGCATTTTTTTTTAATTCTGGGCCCTCCTATTGACTTGTCCGGGGGCTCCCGACAAGGTTAATCCGACCCTGCCAAGATTAAGCTAGCATGGGGTGTGTAGCATGCATTATAAATGGGTCCGAAATTGCCACACTCAAATTAATTACTGTTTTTTTAACATAATAACCTTGATGGAAGATGATGATTGTCTAGAATCGCTCAAATTAAAACTCGGTCTTTCATAGAAGTTAAAGACAGTATAGTACTGTATAGTAATAGAGCAAGTACAGAATCACTGAATTAGTATTGATAGCAAATATTGATAACTTATATTTCGAGCTTCTAGGTTAATCAGGCATTGAATGGTCTTTATCTAATGAGTTTTGTTGATTTGGGGACATATATATAGTCCAATAGGTTTTCACTGGAGATTCCCGCACATTGCTTATGCTGCACTATCATATAAAATAAATATCCTGGTTTTATCTTAATAAATACAAATGGCAGAGTAGTGTAATAGTATGTAGGAGACATGCCAAAATAAACAGCATATGCATGACAAAGTAGTTCGGCTATCAGGTGTTTCTGAAAAGATAAAGCAGCACCTGTCATTGTACAGTCACCATTTAATATTTTGAATGCAGTTTTCAATTTAGGTGTCAAGAGACAGTCTTCATAAGACATAATCATGTAATCTTGAGTGAAATTTTGCAAGTTTTCTATTTTGTTTTAGAAGATCCTCTGTCTACTTATTTTTTCAGAGTTATTATTAGATAAAGGTGATTATGTATTTTTGAGCAAAGATTACGCAAAGTTTCGAGGTTTTTCTGATAAAAATGCAGCAGTTGAGACTTTATCTACCAGTATTAAAGATGGGTAAGTTATGATTACCATAATTGTCTGTTGTTCTTGATAACACATCATTAAATTGTTTAAGAACATGCTGTGTATAATAAATCCTGGTGAATAGAAAGAATGATATAAATTATTGTCAGACAAAATTACATTTTCTATGCCAGTCTTGTTCAGATAAATTAACAAGGATCGATTTTGTCTACAGTTCCATAGTTAGGCACATTTTTTTTTGATGCAAGATGGCGTTGCTACCAAGATTTTTTAAGATTTTGCATAAAGTTGAAAAATGATTTTCATACCTTGTGTAACAGTTGTTTACCCCTCTAAATCAAAGCTCCAACCAGTTATTAATTTTAACTACAGAGCCATCATTGTATGTGCATGGGGTGAAGATGGGGCAGCAGCCATGTTGAAAGGAGGGAAAGTTGTATCCGTGCCTGCATTAAAGCTAGAGAACATGATTGACAGTCTAGGTGCTGGCGATACGTTTATTGCAAGTTTTATCAACGCAACTTTAGATGGACTGACATTAAAAGAATGTCTGAGTTACGCGTGTCAGGTAGCTGGAACGAAATGCTGCATGAAGGGTTATGATGGATTGTCAAAATTCAGGAAGAAAGATTAACTCCTTAGAAATTAACAGTTGAAGCTTGGGTTGTGATGTTCAATTTGATTAGATAAGTCAAGACACCTCTATATGTTTAAACTATGTATATCATTACAACACTGGACCTAAAGCCTAATTTCCATAGGAAACTATAAAATGTTGCTTGAACCGACAGGACTCGATAATCGACAGGGATTCTTCTAATAGAAATGATGTAAAATGACCCAAATCAAAAATTATGTTATTATAACAGAACTTTCTGATAGTATCTGAGAAATATTGAATTGTAGAGGATACTTGTACTGGTATTAATATTTAAACAATCAAGGGCAGTGGGAATATGGATTGTCTTGTTTGTTGAATCCAAGAACCTGAAATTTGAAATATAAGAAGTAAGCTTACCTAGTCGTCCTAAATTAATTATTAGGTAAATCATGCAGTCATGTTTTTTTTTTTATGTAATCAAATATTTATAAATCTAAATTGTTATGAAATTGTTTTCATTTACTACCTAAGCTTTAATGTAGTCATTAAGAAGAATGTGATGTTTTATTTTTTAAAATGATATACTCGGTTTTATTATATCAAAATTGCACAGGGTTTTTCTAAGACGTATTTCACTTAGATGTTTATATGTGTTTATTATATTGACATATATGTCCAACCTAATATTTATGTATCTTTATCATGGCTTTCACTTCAAAAATTTTGCCAGCAAGTCAATTATTGAAATATTTAACAAGCAATGGGATTAGCAATATATATTTTCCAAAGAATATGACAATTTTTTACATTATCCAAATTGTTACATATATTTTTAGTGTTTAAATTTTGCATATAATAACTATCAATTGAAATGTATTTAGTTTGTTTAAAGTTCAATCTTATGGTATATAAATTGACTGATAACTAAGTTCTAGAGCCAGTCTATTTCACTGTCAATCAAGACTAATAAATATGGCTGAAACGTTAGCCCCACCTTATATGTGCCTTAATTTACACCAAATTGTAATCTTTAATTCTAGAGAATCTTAAAAAAATGGTGTATTGATGTAGTAAAACAAACGAAATATGTTTTAGAATATTTAATGATATTTGTACAGTTACAAAATCGAAATTGTGTAGACATGTACAACTGACCCCATTCTGTTGACTTTTACCAAGGAGTAATTAGAAATCTGCAAATTTCTAACATCGGCTTATAGATTCTGTAAGAGTGATTGGGGAAAAATTTTAAATTGTTTAATTTAAGATTAATTTTATCAAGTATGCAAAAAAGAAGAAATATTTAAAATGATTTTTCTATCTTATTAAATACAAAATACCTTTAAATTTCCTTTTATTATTATGTTATTAATAGTGATATAATTCTTAATATGCGTAATGATTTTTTGTTTGTTAATTATCTTTAAAATTTGTTAATGAAAAAATGAAATTTTGTATGAAAATATTGTTGTATTTCAATTTATGATAATCATTTTATTTGTTATAAATAAAAAAAATAATTTTAAATGGATATTGTTTTCTTTACTATACATTAAAACACATTTTGGGGATGCCAATTTTTAATAATTATCTGAGATATTCTGTTTCCAAGCAGAACTTGGTTACCGTTAGAAACAATATGATGAATCTTTGTGCACACACGAAACATGAGCTTAGAGATTGAACTTTACCAATATTGTAGTTTGCTATCCCTCAAATGATGGATCAGGGACTTTAAATCCAACCACACATGGAAAAGGTATTACAGAGCTTTAGATAGCTGCACAGGACTAGGTTTGTAAGAACCTTTCACTCTGAATTCATCAGTTTTATTGACTGAAATATATCTGTATCTGTAACTTCTCCTTTGATATAAAATGAAATCCAAGCAAAAATTATTACGGTAAACTTGTGACATGGTCATTGCTACCTATTCTTTAAGGACTTGAGAAATTGTGCAAGTATTGAGCATGCATTGGATGTAATATTCTCTAGGGTTGGGTCTTGTGTTTTTGACACTAAGAGAGCATTAGATTCTGCATCTGCAGTTTCTGCACCCCAGTGCTAGTAGCCTTACATCAGTCTCCTAGTCATAACTAAGTATATTATCTTTGGCATATTTTATTTAACAATTGTAAATTTTATTTAAAATGGACATCTGTTCGAAGTATACAACACAAGTCTTAATCTTATTTTTAAGACATTAAAAATATATGTTAATTTTTAACCTATATTTCAGATTGTTTTGTCAGATGGATATATATATATATCTTACTGCATTAAATTCTTACCCAACAGCAACATTATTGTAAAAGTAACCATTAAGAACCCATATGGTACTAAATCTTATAAAGAAGTACAAAACATATAGTACTTAATCTTATGTAGCATTAAATCTTGTATACATGCATAAATCAAAGCACTAAATCTTATATCCACGCACAAAACATATCTAAAAGACCTACGAGTACAGTACAAAACATAACACTATCTTATACACATGCATAGCATTAAACTTATATACATCCACAAAATATGGCACTAAATCTTATTATAGGTCTATACAAGTACAAAGCATAGCATTAAATCTTTTATACATGTGCAAACATAGAACTAAATCTTGTATACATGCATAGCAATAACGGCATTAAATTTATATAGATCCACAACATAATATGGTGCTAAATCTTATTATAGGTCAATACTAGTACAAAGCATAGCACTAAATCTTTTATACATATAGAAATATAGCATTAAATCTTATATACATGTATAGCATTAAATTTATATACATGCACAAAATATGGCACTAAAACATATGTCGTATATACATAGCACTAAATCTTATGGACCTATACAGATACAAAAGCCTAAATTTATATACATGCACAAAACATAGCCCCAAGCCTTATAGGTCTATACAAATATAAAACATACAAAATATAGCTTTAAATCTTATGTTCATTTATAAAATATGGCTTTAAATCCTATATACATGTACAAATTAAATGAATTCACCGGTACTTAATTCATCAATAAATATATAATTTACATATAATTTACAATATATTTAATTATGTACAATTATTGCAACATGTTTGCATACAAAAACCAACTTCAATACCCTGTAAAAAAATATTTCAATTCACATTGTTACACCCATTCCAGCGTGTCAAGGAATGGGCATGTCAAGGTATCCTAAATCTTTTAATAAGAATTGTCACCTGGTCGAGTGGTCTATACATACGCTTTAGATCATAAGGTGGCTGGTCATTGAGTCAAGTAGCATGGTTTTAGATCCCAAGCTTGTTTGTTACATGGGACTGAAAACCTGCCCAACCTTGTTGGTTTTCTATGGGTCCTCTACTGCTACAGACCACTATGCATAAGTTAATTATTGAAAAAAGTTACACCACATGTTGTTCCCAAAATTACCTAATTTAACCTCATTTCTCTCTACCTATCTATCATCATTTATTGCACTCACATCGGACGCGGATCCAAGGGCGTGCGCCCCCCCCCCCATTTTTTGCAGTGGCGAACAATTTGTGGGAAAGCAGAACAAAAATACTTAAAAATGGTAGTGATCCCCGTCGTAATTTACTCCGAAACAAGCCGGTTGGTGACTTGGTTGATTGCCCGTCAGTCCGCCCACCGAGAGCCGGGCTTTGCACTTCCAAGTGGGGGCAGCATGCCCCCCCCCCTTTCTGTATACTCTGGATCTGCCCCTGCACATGTAAAATAAGTATTTAACATTTGTTTTTAATAATTGCTAACTGTCCTGCTGGCCCAGTGAAATCATTTTTTCTTCATAGCAAATGTTTATCAGGGAAAAATGTAGGGTTGTGCCAAAGCGAATATGATTATTACATAATTTTCTTTCAACATGCATATTCTCCACATAATCAAATCTGGGTGGAGTGCTCATGAGAATGGATGCTGTCAGTATCCAAATTAAGGGCATTGTAGCACATTAGCGTGTAAAAAGTCTGTATACTGATACAAAATCAACCAAATGAGAATCTAGCTTGATCGCTAAACCCACCAACGCTGGACGTTGAGTCCAATGCTATGATGTTTGAAGCAAGAAATTGAATTGAAACTAAATATTCATAATTGAAGAAAGACTCCATATAGTTGAGATACATATAGGCATACTTTTGATTAAAATATAGGTCCAAAACCACTACTTGGACCTTGGAATAACATAAACGCTAAGTTCATGGCATACAAGATCATATTAGGTAGCATCGTTAGACAGAATCCAAAAGCACGATCCAGGTACGACTTTTTATATCCAATCCAAAATGTAATTCGACCCGCCACAAAAAGCAAGACAAATATTGGAATGAGTTTGATTTGTGTCGATGTCAGAAAAGTACATAAAATAAACTGACCAATCACATTTAAGAAAAGCTGCTCGACAGTGTTTTGAATATAATGTGTGTCTATAATCACATGATGTTCACCATTGCCAGCAATTGGATCAATGGCAGTTGTCTGAAAACGTGTAATGGCCACTTTAAGAATTCCTGCAACTAGAGTCAAAACGGACAATGTCTGCCATCGAAGTGTGTAGATAAGACGATCGAATGCTGTTGGTAATTTTGGTGGCTTATACGGAATAAGAAAATATCCAACCACCAAAGTACTGGTCATAGACAAAACAGCCTTTTTGACTAAACAGAACACCCGTTCTCGCTCCTTGTTGCGTGACTTCGGCATTTTGAAAAAATTGAATAATTTAAAATATCACAACTTTAGTTCATTTCTCAATAAACCGAAATTTGTTCATCACATTAAATGGAAATCCAAAATCCAATAATGGTTGAATTTAAATTACCCTCTTTCTTTCACAACACAAAATGGCAAGTAATTTATTTGATTATTTGTCTCTCAATTATTTCCCCTTCTGCCTAGCAACACACTATCCAAGTTGGAATGCAACAGTCCCACTTGTTGAACTTTCTCAGATTGTGACTAATAAAAAATACATTGTTATTGATTCGCTTTACAGACAATGTAAACTGTTTCTTCTGCGGTCAATAAATTAAAAAATTTATCTTCACAACAGTTGTCTAAGTCAATAGTCCAATTCCTCCTTAGAGGTCCATATATTGTCAAGGATCTGTTAAATTAAAAATTACAACTTGTGTTGCTTCTGGGCTTCATGCATTCATTAACTTATCTCCATTTTCTTGTAATTGGAAAACACTGACAGATCTGAAATATAGTAAGAAAATATGTTTAAAGTGGATACTGACTATAACGTAGTCATGGGCAATAATTATTAAGTAGGCTTCTTTGGCTCAACTTAGACAAATTTGAATTATATATGTGCATTCTAGCATACAATGTCAGTAATTGTCATGTTAGAATAATAACAATGCTGTCAATCAGCTCTAAGAATAGAACATGCATTTAAATGTAAACAGCTATATTTAACCCAGGCGAAGGAGGTAAATTTGGCAATGGTATTAAAGCTGAACTCTGATTACAAAACTAGAGAAATATTTAAATAAAAAAAAATAACACCCTAAATAATCGCCATAACGATTGTACGGTGTACAAAAACAGAGGCAGGCCACGCCCACATCCAGTGCATGCCTTGTCAACCACACTGTCCACATCTGACTAGCAATATTTCAATTATTAATTATACCCCCTGACTGATTGACCTTATTTCACTATCAGTTTACTGAAAATATTATTGCTACACAATTATTATGTCTGATCAGGTACATATTATTTTACTAATTAGACGAAATAAGTCAACCATGGTGTGCTTTTGCTCTAAAAATATGAGAAAAACTGCCAAAATAATTGTGTAGCAATAATATTTTCAGTAAACTGATAATGAAAAAACGTCCCCAAAAAACGTCAATCAGTCAGGGGGTAATTGGTAGTTGAAATATTGCTAGCCGGACGTGAACAGTGTGGTTGACAAGGCATGCACTGGATGTGGGCGTGGTCTGCCTCTGTTTTTGTACACCATAAAATCGCCATGTTTGTTGTACAAATTGAAAGGTGTTAATTTTTTTTATTTAATTATTTCTGTAGTTTTGCAATCAGAGTTCAGCTTTAAGTTATTAGATGTACAGTTATATTAAAATACAAAAGTAGTTAAGTATGAACTTGTCAACTAAATGATATTATTATTTTTTTAGAAATAATAAGCATTGTATTGTACACTATACATGTCTTTTTATATTCACATTTTCTTTCTATACTGACATTAATAAGTGTCAAATGTATTTCTGTCATTTACACTATGAGACTTTCAAATTCTTGAATTATATTAGAGTAGTATAATATGAAGATCTACATCAGGTTGAACTCGGAAATCTTAATGTGATTCAGGAAATTGGTGTGAACATTATTTAACCCTCA